ATATTTGTAAACGATGCCACTGTTTCACTACCTGGACACAGTACGTGACACAACCTTGAACAGTCTCTATGAAATCACGTCACAAAAACATTCATGCATTCCCTAGAAAAGCGTAAAATTGCACATGTTCCGTGGCAGCCCATGCTGGAATGTTTTTATCATTCCCTCTGTTTACCTATGCTGACTGAAGTCAGTTATAAAGCAGTTTGAGAGTCAGAATAACAAAAGTCTGACAGCGTAAAAGATTACAGAGGACTCTGGCCACAAGCCCACTGATGCTATCATTACGTTTATTTGTTCTAGGTTGAGATAATACTGTTTTCAGGGAATTTTTTTTTTCTGTTTACAATTTCAGATCAAAGAGAAAGATCATCAGGTGACAGTCTAACTTTCATCTGCAAGTAAATGAGCTTCCTCAGTTCAGAACATGCTATACCTTCATTAAAAACCTTCCAAACTGCTCTTGGATAAAAATATGAGTGCACTAAGAGTTGACTTACAATGCAAGAGCTGTAGGACAAGAACATGTATCCCTAACCAAAATGTGCAGCACATACACATGCACATTTTTTCCCTTTACAGCCGAATTGTGCAAGCATGGTTTCTCCGAGAGCTTCAGTTCTCTCCCTGGTATGGTTAAATACAACCAGCGCTTTCAGTGAACCCTCACGATGTAACACAGTGCATTAAATATACTGGGTTTTGTTCTCTTAAGTTAAAAAAAAAAATTCTAAAGCATAAGTGGCACTTGAAGACTAAAAGATATTAATCCAATATAACTGAAACAGTGACTTCTGTCTGTGTTTGCAGAAAAGTAACTTTGAACGTTGTGACCTTGGGACTCGCATCACTTGAACCAATAAAGTATCTGGGCGCTGCACATTCTTTCATGGCTGTTGTCCTCGCAATTCCCTTATGAGACAGAGGTCTACTTTCCATCTTACCCCATCTTCATCCGAGTCACACAAAAAAGTCAGTGGCTTTGTTAGGAACTGAGTGATCTTCACAGTCCTGACTCTTCAATGTTTTATTCAGCACATAAGGCTTCTTCCTATATTTGCTGCTCAAAGTCAGCAAATACAACACAGATTTGCAATAACAACACTTTAAAACTCAGTAACACTCCATTTCATTGTTCAAAGCATGCAGAAAGAGAAAAGGAAAACCATGTTACGAAGACCAGCTGTGAACAGTCAGGGAGAACACCAATACTTACCCTTAATTCCGCATCAAGGGGAATGCAAGCTCAAAAAACCGACCTTACCAAGCACAGTACCTAAATTTCCCTCGGCATCACGAAGCCAACACCAAGCGGACTGGCAGGGCAGACAAGCCCTAAAAAGAAGATCACTAACAACAAAACCTGGAAGATGGCTAGCAGGTGCCTTTGGACACCGCTGCAGGGAAAAATGACCGTCAGCTGTTCAGAAAGTGCATACGATCATATATTGAATATATACTGAATACCAGCACAGTCTGCTGTGAGCAACATTTCAGTACAGGGAAAGTTTATCTTGTGGAGGAACTTGTAACAGCCTCGTCCCTTCCTCCTCCATCCAAGAAATGTTACAAATAGCATAAATACAGCTATCGGGATAGACTGTCAATGCAAACACAACATTCTGTATTAACATCAATTTTCCTTTTTCATTTTATACAGATCAAAGTACAAAGTCTCTATTCTATCCCATTTGTTAACAACTCATTGCCAATGCTTAGCACAAATTCTGCTTTGGCTAAGGACAAGATCCTGATGTCCATGAAAGGAGACAAAACCCCTATAGATCTCTTTCCAGCCAGTCTCTCGGCATTTCAGAAATGGTCAGGAAAAGGTAGAAAAGGTCTTTCAGACTGAAATTTCTCAACCCCAAAGCAAACCAGAATTTGTCTGGAATTTAGAAAAATTAATGCATGATGGAGCATATATTCTTTAGCTTTACTAAGACAAAGCAGCTGTAGGCCTAATACATCTGACTCAGTAGAAAGATGTGGGTGACTTAGAGACACTGCTTGACTGCAGTACATCGATCAGAAAACACCATTATTAAATCACAACACTTGCTTCTTTTTCTTTAATATACATTAAGCGTGCAACTTAATCCATTAAGATGCTTCTGTATACGAATGACAGAGGGGATTTCCTGTCACCTTCTCTTAGGAGACAAATGAGACATCCCAAGCTACTGGTCTGCTCTCCAACCACTAAAGACAAGGTAAAAGAGAGGCTGGGAATTCTGCAGCCCTGCAAAAGGGGATACTCCAGGGCTGATACTCTAAACTGGGTGAAATTACAATTCAAACATTGCTGTAACACCAGATATACCTGTCAATATTTGGAACACCAATATATATGGTTCCCAAATTTCTGCTCCCAGAGCAAAATTGGTATGCCACGTATTACTCAAAGCATACACTGCAGATCCAACACTTCTTGGAAAAACTGGTCTTACAGTGTACTCCATGTACAGCCAATTTGTGCAGAAGCAGTGATCCCGTACAGGGAACTTCTGTGTGTCCAGCAGCTTAGACACAGCCATTCAGACAAGTACGTGAAACTTCTATAAACATTACCAATGTACCAGTTCTTTGTCCACGAACTAAAGGGTCTTATCTATTAGTAATAAGTATGTGCAAGAAACACGCTAATGGATCACAAAGCAAGAAAAGAAAAATCATGCATCAGACTGCGAAAGAAGGATATTTTGGGAAATGTGTGGCGAAGCTCTATCGGCCAGAATCTCACGTACGAACGCAGATGATTTCAGTATGGACGTTAAAATACCACATACAACAAGGGCATAATGATGATGTTTAAACAATTTATAATGGGTACTAACTAAACAAATTTTGACACTGATAATCAGTCATGTCCATCAACAGAAGTTAGAACTTTTTATAGCTCCAGTACAGAAGGTGACCTTTAAGACCATTGGCCTTGATTCACAGTTAGCTTTAAACCAGGGGGGGAAAAAAAAAAAAAAAGAAAAGAAAAAAGGTCTGGTTGCAAATGTATAAATACTATCCTAACCAAGAAAGGAGGTACAGAGGCTTCCAGTGTGTGTCTCAGAACATCTGCATTGAGAATTTAAAATTGAACAGTCTCCAAAATTCTTGTCCAATGCTACTTATACATGAAATTTATGGAACAAAAGAATAGAACCACGTACTACTTTTCTCACTAAACAGCTACAAGTACCGTTATTCCAAAAGAAAAAGTAAAACTATCCATCACATTATGTAAATATTTTAAATGATAGATGTGCATTGAGAATCACGGGTACCAATGTGATATTGTTGCTGGATAGTTTAATTATCGAGGGAGTTGTGAAATCCACCCATACGCCTCAGACTGGTTAGAATTTTCTCTATTTTATACCATTCCAAAAGCTATACTGTTCACGTCCCAAATGAAAACTATGTGGCAAACTGGGAAAAAACTTTACTATGTAGATTCTGAGAATTTTAATGCAACGCTTTCACAGAGATGCTAATACTATATCCCAAAAAACGTGCATCAATAAAGGTTTATTCTCTAAAACATGTTATGTTTGGTTTCCAATGTATGCCTTAAAAACAAATTTATCAGCTGTAGAAAGAGAAGAACATCTTTGTTCCTAGTGACTGGAGCCCTATGCTTTGGTTTTCAATACTGATTATAGGGTATTTCCCATTTTTTGTATGAAAGTAAACCAAGAATAACTCTAACACATGAAACACATTATATATAGTACATGCTCAAATAGATGACAGAGCATATGTATACACACAGATCTCAATGCCCTTCATATTATTTATAAAAATTACTCGTAAGTACTATATATATTATCCCATATGTACAATTTTTTCCCAATTTCCTCTCACTTTCCAGACTGGCTATTCCTAAACCATTGCCTATAACAGCAATTACACTCTTCCAGAACGGTAGCAGCAAAGCTTTAGAGTGTTCAAACTACCAGCAATTTCAATTCACACAGATTGAAACATTATCAACCACTACTGCATTAAATAAAGCTTTCAGGTTCTAAAGGTAAGGCAAAAAACTTAAGGCAAACTGCACAAGTCATAGGAAAAAAAACGGTTTGAAGGAACTATAATCACAGTACCACGATAATCCAAGCTTCCAGTGTCAGGGTCATAATCACAGTGCCCGAGGCTTCTCCCTGTCACACTAGTTTACATCTGCCAGACTGTCACAAGTCTGTGCTTTCAGTGTGTAATTGCATCAGCAAGTGCAATACTCATTTCTTACCCTGTGGTGACATTTTTATTTATGTATTTCAAACAGGTTCTTCAACAGTTACTCAACGCTACAAAGGTGAGGCTCTCCCGATGCCTAAAAGCACTGCAGCGACGGATTCGAGCACAACACGCTGCGCTGCTGCTTCTATCCCAGTGATGCTAGCAAAACCGATCACTCTCACTTTTTTCCACCTTACCCGTAAATCAGTTTACCCAGCATTTTTTAAAATATAATTTCAGACTTTTTCACCCTATGCTAATCTAGCCTAATTTAGTCTTCCATGTTTAAGAGTGGGATTTTTAAACTGGGAAGTTAAATCTGTATCACTACGGTCTCCAACAGGTTCCCCCACTTTGCTGAAGTGCAGATAAAAGTTAATCACAGTCCTTTGATTAACTCTTCCTTTCAACTCTTTAATTGTCTGTCTTTGGCTTCTACCACCAAAGTCAAGCAAACCCTGACAGTTGCTTCACGGGCACTAGACAAATGTTTAACATGTTACATGAGAAAAGGTTAAGTACAAACACAGCTAATAATCTGGGCTCTTTGGAGGTAGTGTCGTATCTGAATAAATCTGACAGCACCTCATTGTAAAGGGCAAGAATTTATTATTGTCCAGGTTAAACGCTGTGCTCTTATCCTTTCTGTGGCTATAACGTAAGAAAGGCTCTTTGTGTGCTGAAACAAACATTAAAGTGCCAACATACACGAAATGTATAAGGTGTCTGGGGATTATTCTTCAGCAAATAGTTTAACTTACTTTGGCTTCAGTCTCTCCCCTGTGAAGTGTATACAAATGATGGACGGCACTTTGTGATGATGACCAAGGATGTGTCAGTATTTGAAAAACATGGAAATCATGGCCTAATGTGTCAGTAGTGACCAGCAACATCCCTGGGTAAAAAAAAGAAAAAGAAAAAAGAAACACAAAAGCACAAGAGATTAATCACCGCAAAAGAAGAGGCTTACGAAGGTCCATCTAAAAAAGCTAGCGTGGCTTACATTTTGTTTTCTGGAAACAAAAGTAAACAGTTGCAGAAAATTACTGAATTGAAAGGGATTCACTTCATAAAAATGAGTCAGAACTTCACCTGAAATCATATTAGCAGTATTACAACTTACGTATTACAATACAAATCTACAAAAGCCAACTAAAAAATCTGGGAATATTCTAACTGAAATTGAGAACTTGTGTGACCAATATGAAGCACTGAGGTGATGAATGTTAGAGTGCAATCCCAAAATGCTCTTTACTGGGAAAGAGCCAGTATAAAAAAGATCGATGTTTCCACAATAATAATTTTGGGGAGAAGAAACATTATCAAAACCCAGCCAAAACAACCCATACCAGAAACAGTCCTGAAGAAGCATCTTTCTTATAAATGTATATGAAAGAAACTGTCTGATTTATTGCTTGAAAGGCAGCAAATCAGAGCTGAGAGCTTTCAAGTGAAATATTAAATTAGGTACTAACTTCATTGAAAACAGGTCACTGATGGATGTACTGAAATGATTACATTAGAAGATCAGCAGAATCACAGTAACTTAGACATGCTATTTACTTTTTTTCCTCCCACTATATGTCAGCCCACAACCCAGGTTTTAAACACTTACAAACATATTTGAACTCAATTTGCCATAAAAGTTTAAGTTTTTACACCAAAAAAGAAACATTGTTGTACGTATAAGAAAAGTACGGCATCATGGCAGAATTTAGAACTACAGTAAACAAACTTCAGATCTATTTTTCTCTATAAAAATGTCTATATTACCATGCTTATTAATGAAATTTAAGAAGTCATCACCCAAAGTAATCCTCCGACATTTAATTAACGTCAAGTACAAAGTGATTTTAGCGGTTTAATAGCTACATTGAAGTGCCTTTAAATAATTTTCAAGGTATCGCATCTGTTAAAGAAAACCAGGAATTTCCGCACAGCTACGTTGTGTTAATTCTCCACATAAAGCATAATTGAAATCTTTTATCCTTCAGGAAGGGAACTGAGGTCTCCACATTTTACATGACACCTATTCAAAGGACAAATGGTTATCTTATTTCTGTCATAAAAGAGTGTTCGCTTTCTCGGTTTATTTACACATGGCTCTGCGATTCATCTTTTCCTCTTCTACTCACTGCTGCTAAACAAATATATACAGTACAAGCTTGAAAGCCCTCACACATTACCATTAAAGTCCTAGCATATGCCACTTTTAGAATTTTAGAACTGGGGGGAAAAAAAAAAAAAAATCCTCTTGTGTACTGAGAAGCAGAGAAAGACCCTTTTAGTAAACATTAAGCTTAATTAACTTTTCTATTGAACCACCATTACAACATCACTTGATGACTATCTTGAGTGTCTTCCCTCCTTGGCAATCCTGGAATCCCCCTTCCCTTAAGCCCAAACAGGAAAATTTCAGCAGCCAAAGCCTTGACCTTCTGGGCTCAAGGTCACTCCCCAGCGCCTCCTCCTCCTCCGAGGCTGAAGCAAGTTTGTGAGCACATGGCTCGGCTCACGGGAGGAACAGCACAGCCCCAGAGTCTCCAAACAGGGTAACACAGCATCATCGCAGACTTCGTCTGACCGCGAACAGGCGTGTGCCTCGGTTTCTCTTTACCGTAACTCTTATGAAATAAGGATCTTGTGAAGATAAACAAATACGTTCAAGACTATGAGGCCCACCAGCAGCAAGGTACAAAATCAGAGAGAAATCCAAATTGCATTTAGAGACAAAATTGCCTACAAGTTTCCTTCTCAGCTTGACCACTGGTGCTGGTGGGGCTTGGACAGAGCGCGAGGCCACCCACATCGCACGCATCCATTTCCTCAAAATCACACAAACGCAAAATCTTAAATCCGACCTCAGCAAGATTCCCTCCAGTAGACATACTTTTACTGTTACAGGCTGCTACTCCGATTCCGAGTGTTAGAAATGAAAGAGAGTTTGTTATGGAGCTAAGAAATCCGTGAGTGCATTTGGGTATTATCTTTGGGCGGTAAGGCATGGGAGTTGAGGTTGGTCTGGATGTTAATGTTGGCTTAACTGGCAATTTCCTTGATTTGTAGTGACTGTGTTGATAGGAAATACAGCTAAAGTTGCTCAAGTCCAAGTCAGCCAAGTCTTTAGTGTGGGATTATGCACACAATTTGCATTAATTCTGTTCTGAAACATCACAAAATACACTTCCCTTCTAGTGAAGTGTGCGGTCCTCAGTAATATATAGCATTTCCAGTGGAGAAAGCTGGAAGCAAACAGGGGTTTGTGTGCTAGAATTAGGCTGCCGCTATTACTGAAGCGAGGATATTCCAAAAGATCTAATTCCGCACAGTAAAGATTTATCTTCTGTATTCCCATGTTTGCCTCTCCTCACGCATTAGATAGCTTTATATAGAAGTTGAGTGTGCTTTTGGTCCTTTTGTGCTCTCTCTTATTCCAGATGGAAGGGACCTTTGGAGAAAGAGAAGCTGGAAGAGATGAATACATAAGGCTTCTCTCAACACTGAACAGACAGCCTCAGCAAACCTAGATTTTTTTTCTTCCCCCAAAGTGCTAGAAGTCTTTTATAAATACATACGCAGAGCTGAGTGCACCCAGGGATCTGAGCACAGCATTCTTCATGTGTATCCCATCACATGGCACAGTGCAATGAAGATCGTAAAACAAAAAAAAAAAAAAAAACCCCAAAAACCCCAACTTTAAACAAGCCAAAAATCCGTCTGGAAGCTGGAGACAGAAAGCTGCGTAATAATCACGAGCCAGTGAAAACACAGGAATTACCATACTGCGTTGTCCATCAAATCTATCCCTTGTTTAGCTAACCGGTATCTTGTTTCCAATATTGGCTAGAAATGCAGGTGTCTGCGGACGGTGCAATAAACCCCACAGTTCGCAGACGCGATACAATTTTGCCCTTCTCCTCACAAAAGTTTTTTCCCAAATCTGTAATCTTTACTTACCCTAAGCAGGACGTTGCTAGAGAGCTCACTTTGAGACCGTACGCTACAAGGTATGTCACACGAAGCCATAAAGCACACGGCGTTACCTGTTCGTTCTTTCGATGACATGCGCCATAACTGAACAAATGAAGCCGTGAAACGTGCTCGCCTATCCGCAGGTCTGATCACTTCCATATGATGTGCGCAGTTCTTGGTTCCCTATTAACGTGCGTTGCCTTCGGGTTTTTGGGGTTTTGTGGTTTTTGGGTTTGGAGGGGGTTTTTTGCTAACTTGAAGGGTGGTTTTGGTTTTTTTTTTTGCTAACTTGAAGGAGTACAGAGGTGAAAGACAATACATTTGTGGGTGGAAAGGAATTGGCTTAAAAATAGAAAGATGGGTGGTATCTGATTTGGCAATTTTGCATGCCTAATCTAAAATCCTGCTGTCTGTCACTAGAGTAAATGCATTTTATTAGATGAAAGCCGAAGGAAAACAGGCCCTTCGCTTACATTAGCGACTATTTTTCAGTAAGTTAAAGGAGGACCTTTCATACTCACATTTGCATTTGAAATACAAATATATACTTGCAGAGCTTGTATCAACACAGAGGTCCCAAGCACAATACCACAGATGTGAAAGAATGTGTATTTATAAAACAGCATTTTGAAATATCTTTCTTACTACTGTTATTCAAACAATAAATCACTGGTGTTTTAGAACATTTGACTTGGGTTTTGGTGTGGTATTTTCCAGCTCTCATTACTTCACACTGAAGAATCACAGTTTTCAATTACTCCAGCTCAGCCATTTCGCTTCTCTCTCCATCTCCCTGCAACAAAAGGCCGCTGCACCACCCCAGCAGAAATACCTAATCCCAGCAGAGAAACATGAACTTGGATCGTGGTCCTTACCTCACTTTCACTTTCAAGCGCAGGAAGCTTCAACTCAGTTTTCTAAAAGACCTTGCGACAGTTTTCCCAAAAAGTTGTTTAGACGGAAATATGGGTTAAAGCTGTCATAAGTTCAGTCCAAAATGTTTTCTCTTATGATGTACTTTATGTATGAATAATCATAGATGAAAAGTGAATAATTCTCAAGGATTTCCTGCTTATTTTTCAAACTGGCATTAATCCTTGTTTAACAGATAACATCTGAAATCAATTGAAAGTCTTGCATACACAGAACCCAGTGGAAATTTATGTGTAAAGCAGATTTGACTTAGCATGTATCTCACTGCAAAAATTTTGATTTTGCTTATCCATAATATGAGGGGTGCAGCTAGGTTAAATTAATGACTGTTTTACTGTGTGGTTTTTCAAATCCACAGAGATGATTAAAACCCAGTTTAAAAGGAACAGCTATCCTAGATGGAAAAAAAAAAAAAAAGTTACCGCAGCTTTGTTTTACCTGACAGATACATCTGCCCTCATGTACAGCTTCCTACTTTTCACGCATTCTGTTTGGGAAACAATAAGCCACTTTCAGGATAGAAACATTAAAAAAAAAACAAAAAAAAACCAGAGAATATATGCATAAAAGGAAAAACTAGTACAGATGTAGACTGTGGGTTAAGAGCTATTTATGCAGTATCAGAAGACTAAACCAGACTCTGGCCTGGCCATAAACTAAGCCCACGCCCTAAATGAGGTGCCAAGCCACAAAAAGCATTTGCGTCAACTGGGAATACAAGGAAAAGAAGGACTTCTAATTATAGGGCCTGGAAGCGGAAGCCCAGAGTGATTAGGAGTTTAGGCGCTGCTGTATGTTTATCTGGGAGCTTCCTCTCGCTCGCTCTCAGCCCGGGTTTGATAGATGAGGGTTGGCCTAAAGGGTGGGATTGAAGTTGCTGATGGTACACAGAGTTCTCCACGATCCGAAGGAGACGGAGACCGAATACTAAGGCTTCTGTGGCCTTGTAGGAACATAACTCTTTTCAACTAGGCGTCAGCTGGTTAGCCC